TCCAATCAGCAGAGTAGGTATGTAGCAACAACATAGCTTGCACCCTCTCAAGGCTAGGTAAAAATAAATTGTGATGGGACCTTTCTAGTTAAAGCCAAGAGATGAGCGTATGCAGTAGTGGCTCGTGATCATACAGGCAGAATGATAGCAGGACTCTCTGGGACAATGAGTATGGCTTTTCCCTTGGCCTCTAAAGCTTGGGCTGTAAGGCGTGCTTGCAACTTAGCAATTGTTGAAGGATGAACTTTGTTACACATGGAGAATGATTTACAGATGCTTGTGAACTCTTTGTCAAAAGGACCAGATGAGCGTTTGAGGGAGGTGGAATCAATTCAGAAGGATATATGGCTATTTGTTGAACAACTCCCTTCAATCCAATTTAAAGCAGTNGGTGGCTCGTGATCATACAGGCAGAATGATAGCAGGACTCTCTGGGACAATGAGTATGGCTTTTCCCTTGGCCTCTAAGGCTTGGGCTGTAAGGCGTGCTTGCAACTTAGCAATTGTTGAAGGATGAACTTTGTTACACGTGGAGAATGATTTACAGATGCTTGTGAACTCTTTGTCAAAAGGACCAGATGAGCGTTTGAGGGAGGTGGAATCAATTCAGAAGGATATATGGCTATTTGTTGAACAACTCCCTTCAATCCAATTTAAAGCAGTTTGAAGATCAGTCAATCAATTGGCTCACCTAGTTGCTACACAAACTAGGAATGGAAGTTTACTGGTTACAAACCCAACACTGAAGATCATGCAACTGATCAAGAAGAAAGCCAGAGGAGGCATTGGATAGACTAGATTTATTGTAATTGAGTCGTTTCTTGTTTATATATTTTTGTTGAATGACCCAAAAAAAAAAAAAATATGAGGATAGAGGAAGTGAACAAAGAAGGCAGCTGGTGTTGCTTGATTTGATAGTTGATACCCTGCAGGATTGACAAACCTACTTCCGGCAGATTTGGTTGGCTCAAAGTTTATGGGATTCTTGTATTTGGCAAACAAACAACTGAAAAAAGAAAAAAAAAACATCAATATTAGTTGAATCGAATTCGTCCATGAAATTTATCTATTACATTCCCTGTTTTCGTCGGATTGGTAATGGACTTCATCAACTAGTAAGACACAATATACTCCAACGACATAAGTAAATTTGATTATCATAAAAAAGACAGAAGAAATAAGAAGAGCCACACTCTTAACTCAAAGTGGACAGCCAATCTATCCTGTGGTTTGGCTCCTCTTAGGCTAAAACTTGGCATCTATATAGAGTAACAGTAATAACATTTAGACTTAATTTACTGATATAATCCATCGTTGTTGTTTTATTGAGAGTGAATTTCAGTTAATACTGGATTTCCGTCTGTGACTAACTAAGTTACCAAATTAGATCAATAAGTTTTGTTCAGATAACATTTGGAAAGACTTTGGGCATCTAATCTAATGGAGTCTCGGAAATTATTGCCCAAGTCCAGGCTCTTGGTGGGTGTGTCGTGTGTGTGTAAAAATGAATGAGAATATATAAGAAAATAAGTGGTTCACTAGCTGAAAAACTTGGCTAATCCATTGTAATGGAGTTTTTTGCTCCCGCTTGTTGTGTATAGAGTTTTTGTTGAATGTGGTCGAATTACAGACTCAAGACCGTTTATAGGGAGAGTGGATTTGATCCCAGAGTTTCTATCTGGTTTTCAAAGGAGACCATTTTATTTGTAAGGCACTATTCTTTATATATGGGTTGTCTCTCTTAGGGTTCATAGTGGCATCTCTTGCCTTTTTGTTGATCCTGTGGAAATCTCCTATCCTTGTCCTGCAAAAACCTTTCTCCATCGTTCCCTTAGTACCCACGATCTCTAGGACCTTAAGCTCCACCATCTTCTGTGTCCAAGAATGCGTAGTTGCAGCTGTTTCAGAGATGGTCCCCTTATCCTTTGGGCGCATGGCATATCTGGGTTGTTTAGGGGCGAATGATTCGTTTCTTCTTTGGGCTATTGTTAGGCTGGGCCTTGATAGAGCCTGGTTGAACTTTTATCTTTCTAATCCCTACTGGAAATTCTTCAATTTCGCTTGACTAATCCAAGACATTCTTTTTGGGCCGTAGGACCTTTTGGCCTATAATCTTGGCGGCCCATGCTCAAAATTCCACCCTCATCATAATCCATGGACAATTCACCTTAGTGAATGATCAATAAAGCCCACATAATACTAACCCCGTCGCTAAATAAGTCTATTGTTGAAAATTTACAAATTTCTTATTTCAAATTGGAGGAAACATTTTTTATGCTGAGCAAAGAAAAATAAGAGAGCAGGCTTTGACACAACAATAAAATTGCTCCATTATAAGTAGACATTGCATGTTTGAGTCACAAAAGTACTGAGTTAATTTTTAACAAGTATTTCTTGGGCTACTAACATCAGAGTGTAGGCCTAATCTATAACTCACAAATTGGGCTGAACCAAATCCATATTAACTACCGATCCAACCCAACCCAAGTTCGAACAGGTGGCTTGGGGACCAAGTGTTAGTCAGACGTTTTTGCTATCAAAATCTTTTGGCATTTTCGGAACGAGTTATACTATGTTCATCAAATCATTATCAGTCTTTGGATCAATAGAACCTGCTATCATCCAAAAGCGGACAATCAATTGGTGCACATTTTTTATGTATATAAATATAAAATTACTCTTTCAGAACATTAAACATAAGACCTTACTTAATGATTTACGATAAACACTAAGCACTCCTTGAGGGATGATTATTACATAAGAGTATCAATTGAGTCGTATAGGATGGACATTCATCTACAATGACTCTCTCTTCTCTCAATCAAATCTTTTTAGATTATTTATTAAAATATTAAAAATTTATTATTTGAAATCTCAATCACACACCCCACTACTCCCTCCCTCCTCCATGTAAAAAAGTATTTTATGTTTTTAAGAAAATTGATTGAATCGATATTTTAATTTTATGTTTTATGGTGTTTTGTAATATTTATAGATGCTTTCAGAATTTTTGAAATATTTCAACATGCCTTTGTTTTACTTTTTTTTTTTATCAAATTTGTTTTACTTTGTTCAAATGATTAAAATTGAGGAAGGAACTTAATTAATACAAAATTGTTAATTTAGGTGTAAATTTAAAATAATAAAAAATTCAAAGATTATTTCAAAATAAAAAATAAAATTTAATTTTGAATCAATTTAGAAAAAAAAATAATTTTTTTTTGTAAGATCACCGGAACCGATCTTTTTAAGGCGAAGTAACGCGACGTCACAACGAGGCCATATCCAAATCTTGTCCAAGATTATTTCTCCCTCTTTCTCTCTCTCTCATCATGGATTCTGTACTCTCCGAAACCCTAGCTTCTGAACCCCCTCCCAATCATCCACCCGAACTCGATTCTCGCAATCTGAACTTTTCCCCATCAGAAACCTTAGCTTACTCTTCACAACAACCACTTCCTTCTTCGTATTCTTCTCTCAATCAACCACCGTCGTCCGATCAAAACCCCCCTCAAAACCTAGTCCCACATGATCAAACTTCTCCTCCTCCTCCTCCTCCTCCTTNGCTGATTCAGAGATGGTCCCCTTGTCCTTTGGGCGCGTGGCATATCTGAGTTGTTTAGGGGCGAATGATTCGTTTCTTCTTTGGGCTATTGTTAGGCTGGGCCTTGATAGAGCCTGGTTGAACTTTTATCTTTCTAATCCCTACTGGAAATTCTTCAATTTCGCTTGACTAATCCAAGACATTCTTTTTGGGCCGTAGGACCTTTTGGCCTATAATCTTGGCGGCCCATGCTCAAAATTCCACCCTCATCATAATCCATGGACAATTCACCTTAGTGAATGATCAATAAAGCCCACATAATACTAACCCCGTCGCTAAATAAGTCTATTGTTGAAAATTTACAAATTTCTTATTTCAAATTGGAGGAAACATTTTTTATGCTGAGCAAAGAAAAATAAGAGAGCAGGCTTTGACACAACAATAAAATTGCTCCATTATAAGTAGACATTGCATGTTTGAGTCACAAAAGTACTGAGTTAATTTTTAACAAGTATTTCTTGGGCTACTAACATCAGAGTGTAGGCCTAATCTATAACTCACAAATTGGGCTGAACCAAATCCATATTAACTACCGATCCAACCCAACCCAAGTTCGAACAGGTGGCTTGGGGACCAAGTGTTAGTCAGACGTTTTTGCTATCAAAATCTTTTGGCATTTTCGGAACGAGTTATACTATGTTCATCAAATCATTATCAGTCTTTGGATCAATAGAACCTGCTATCATCCAAAAGCGGACAATCAATTGGTGCACATTTTTTATGTATATAAATATAAAATTACTCTTTCAGAACATTATACATAAGACCTTACTTAATGATTTACGATAAACACTAAGCACTCCTTGAGGGATGATTATTACATAAGAGTATCAATTGAGTCGTATAGGATGGACATTCATCTACAATGACTCTCTCTTCTCTCAATCAAATCTTTTCAGATTATTTATTAAAATATTAAAAATTTATTATTTGAAATCTCAATCACACACCCCACTACTCCCTCCCTCCTCCATGTAAAAAAGTATTTTATGTTTTTAAGAAAATTGATTGAATCGATATTTTAATTTTATGTTTTATGGTGTTTTGTAATATTTATAGATGCTTTCAGAATTTTTGAAATATTTCAACATGCCTTTGTTTTACTTTTTTTTTTTATCAAATTTGTTTTACTTTGTTCAAATGATTAAAATTGAGGAAGGAACTTAATTAATACAAAATTGTTAATTTAGGTGTAAATTTAAAATAATAAAAAATTCAAAGATTATTTCAAAATAAAAAATAAAATTTAATTTTGAATCAATTTAGAAAAAAAAATAATTTTTTTTTGTAAGATCACCGGAACCGATCTTTTTAAGGCGAAGTAACGCGACGTCACAACGAGGCCATATCCAAATCTTGTCCAAGATTATTTCTCCCTCTTTCTCTCTCTCTCATCATGGATTCTGTACTCTCCGAAACCCTAGCTTCTGAACCCCCTCCCAATCATCCACCCGAACTCGATTCTCGCAATCTGAACTTTTCCCCATCAGAAACCTTAGCTTACTCTTCACAACAACCACTTCCTTCTTCGTATTCTTCTCTCAATCAACCACCGTCGTCCGATCAAAACCCCCCTCAAAACCTAGTCCCACATGATCAAACTTCTCCTCCTCCTCCTCCTCCTCCTTCACCACCAGCAGCAGCAGCCCTAGCCTTTGATGCTACGAACCCTAATACTTCATCCGAACCCGAATTGCCTAACCCGAATCTACCTCATGAAGACCCTACTAATGGCGGTGTTGAAGTCTCCCAGGCGAGCGCAGATAAAGATAATTCAGGCGGGGAAGAAGCCACCACAAGTAGCCGACGACGGCGGCGCAGCC